AGGTATTCACATCTGGATAAGATACCTGCTTTTGGCCTGACCATTAGTAATTCCTTTACCAAAATTTGGATGCTTGCCAACCGGCACCTGTTTATGACCGTTGCAGTGTCCCGGGGGTCAAGCAATCACCCTTTGCAAACTTCCCAGCCAGCTTCAGACAAGCCAAGTCGATGGGGGCGATGCCAGATTCAACTAATGACCATTTGATTTACTGAAGGACCATAGTGGTTCACTTAACAACCCTGGTGAAAAGGTCATAAAACTGAGCACACCTCAGTTAACAACCTCGTTTGGCAACGGAAATTCTGATCCCCATTTGGGTTGTAATTCAAGGACGCCTGGTGTAAGCAAACCTTTTCTGTCACTGGAAGAGAACGCCACGTAAGAAAAGAAAAGGGGAAAAAAGGGAAATTTGGTTTTTCGTTAGAACATCATCAGAATTAAGCCCACAGCCCATGGCTCGATGTCCAGGCCACACGCCCTGCATCTGATCCTCTTTCTCAATACGGTGGCTGAAATATTTTCTCATCCCAATTAGCAACCTATCAGAAACAAATGAGGTTCTCATTCGTCACACCTTTGGGCTTTTATATTGTTGGTCTTTTTTCTCCATCTTAAAGAGAATTTGAGGCCAGCTGTGAAGGTCAGTAGAATCTGGAGCTTCAAGAACCAAAATTACACCTCTCCTCAGTCTTTTCTCTCTCTCTCTCTCTCTCTCTCTTTCAGTCTTCTCTCTCTCTCTCTCTCTCTCTCTCTCTCTCTCTCTCTCTCTCTCTCTCTCTCTCTTTCATTCAATGGACTCAGTTTTTCTAACCTATAACTTGGAATCAAGAAAAAGGCAGAGTGAGAAAAACCCTGCTGCGATGCATATATTCCAGATGTGGCTTGATATCTATATTCTGTTCATCTATTCTCATTAGAAGCTTATCTGTCCCAGGTAACTAGGTTGAATCCCCTGTCTGCTTTATCACCTTCTGGCAGGCTCCAATCTGCCTGGGAAGTCCAGTTGATGGTCCAGCAACTCCAGAGCTGATGAGTTACTACGACGAGGAAGCAGCCCGGCTGCCCCATGCCGAGGAGGGTCACGAAATGGAGAGCCTGCTCTCACACCAGGATTCCCACTTTAGCCACGATGGACGTCGTGATGAAGGTAAGCTCGGCATCTAATTCAAAACCGTTGGATTTGGACAAATGGAAGGTAGCAAGGATTTAATCCCACTTCTTTCAAAAATCTAATTTAGTACAGATATTCCTTGACTTACAACCATTTGTTTAGCAACCGTTTGAAGTTACAATGGCACTTTAAAAAGTGATTTATGAAGATGCCGAGACTCTAGAAAGAGGGCAGAGAAGAGCAACAAAGATGATTAGGGGACTGGAAGCAAAAACATATGATGAACGGTTGCAGGAACTGGGGATGTCTAGTCTAATGAAGAGAAGGACCAGGACTGACACGATAGCAGGGTTCCAACATCTCAGGGGCTGCCAGAAAGAAGGGGGGTGTTCAAGCTATTCTCCAAAGCGCCTGAAGGCAGGACAAGAAGCAACAGATGGACACAAATCAAGGAGAGAAGCAACCTGGAACTAAGGAGAAATTTCCTGAAAATTAGAACAATTAACTAGTGGAAGGATTTGCCTTCAGAAGTCATAGGTAGACTTCATAGAAGTCCATCACTGGAGGTTTTTAAAGAAGAGATTGGACAACCATTTGTAGGTATAGGGTTTTCTGCCTGAGCAGGGCTTTGGACTAGAAGATCTCCAAGATCCCTTTCCAACATTATTATTATTATTATTATTATTATTATTATTATTATTATTATTATTATTATTATTATTATTATTATTATTATTATTGTTGTTGTTGTTGTTGTTGTTGTTGTTGTTGTTGTTGTTGATCATCTATGTTCAGACTGGATTTGGCATTTTTGTATACCTATCAAGTCCTTACAATGGACCTGGGATAGGCAGATGTGGATGTTTGAATTGATGATATTACAGATATCGTCGCAGGATAGAAGCAGTTCCCAGTAAGGCCGCCTTTTGCAATTGACTGATAGTGAATTTGTCAATGCCGATGATGGTGTCCAAGTGGTGCTCCAGTTGTTTTGGGATTGCACCCAAGGCGCCTATGACTATTGGTACTCCGCTTGCTTGCCTTTGCCATAGTCGTTCTATTGCTATTTGTAGGGCTTTGTATTTTGTTACCTTCACCAGTTATTGTTATTGGTCCCTCACACTTATTTGCACAGTGACCTCATCAAAATTTGGGCTCTTGGCAACCAGCATATATTTCCGATGGCTGCAATATTCTGGGGTCATGTGATCACCATTTGTGACCATCCCAGCTGACTTCTGATAGGGAAAGTCAATGGGGAGGAGGGGGGGAAGCTGGATTCACTTAATGACCATGTGATTCACTTAACAACCGACTGGTGTAACAAAAGGGCCAAAAAGGTCATAAAAGCAGATGGGACTCATTTAACAACTGCGTTGCTTAGCAACACAAATTCTGGTCCCAGTTGTGAATGTAAGTTGAGGACTACCTGTACGTGAAACCTCAAATTAAGCGGCCATCCTAAAGCATGCCCACATGCCCAGGTGGCAGATGACCATCCCATGACCTCAGGATGCTGCAACCATCGCAAATACACGCCAGTTGCCAAGCATCCGAATTTTGATCACGTGACCTAGGTGATGCTGCAACGGTTGTAAGTACGAGGACTTTAGTGCCGCTGTAACTTTGAACAGTCACAAAACGAATAGATGTGAGGACTACCTGCCCAATAGCCTCTTCATTAACCCTTTGAAAGAGACCTGTTTTCATTTGTTGTAAACGTTAGAACCGTTACGCAAACTTTTCTTAGGAATTCTTTTAATCTTAAGGGAAGGTTAGGGAACAGTTCTAACATTTGAAACTGTTTCTCTGTGTGGAGGGTAATTAATATACGTTTTCAAAACAGGATTAACAGAAGTTGTTTTCTTCATTAGCATAATATCTTAAATGCTTTCTTTCCTTTCTTCATTAGGTCTTCTCTTACCAGCTTTGCAAGCAGCCATTTTAGAGAGTCTTAAATTGCTATGTTTGGTTTCCTGGCATGGTTCTTTTAGAATGCACAAAATTGGGACCAAATAATCAGCTCGCATTAGTGTCTAATTGTTAAATAACACTTTGCTAGTAGCATTTTTTTTTAACCTTAGCAAGTTTAAGATGTCTGGACTTCGGCTCCCAGAATTCCCCAGCCACCCAAGCTGGAAACGGAAGTCTATCCATTTTAAAGAATGCTGGGATTCTGGGAGTTGAAGTCCACGCTTCATAAATTTGCTGAGGTGAAGAAACACTACTTTAGGCAAGTAGAGATTCCAGGTGGGCCTCAGCTTATAACCACAACTGGGGCCGGAATTCCATTGCCAAGCAAGACACTTGTTAAGTGAAAGGCACCCGATTTTACAAGTGTTTTTGCTGTGGTTCGTAAGTGAATCATTGCAGTTATGAAGTGAATCATGTGGTCGTTAAACAAATCAAGCTCTCCCCCCTTGACCGTGTTAGTCAGAAACCAGCTGGGAAGGTCATAAAAGGCGATAACGAGATCCCAGGATGCTTCAACTGTCCTAAGTGCACGCCTGTTGACAAGTGCCTGAATTTGGATCTCATCATCATGGGGATGCTATGACGGTCGTAAGGGCAGGAACCTAGTCACTTGTTTCAGGGCTATGCCAACAGCCAGCTAGGGACACTGATGTGTGGATCCTCTGGTTATTTTCCATTCTTTTTTCTTTTCTTTTCCACTCCTCAGATCACCAGAGCGGGGAAGACGTTTATTTCTACTCTTTAAAGAAGATATTGTGCCAAACCCCAACCCCAGTCACTGTGGGCTTCTGTTCATCATACAAAGCACGCCTTCGCACCCTACTGGACAAGATTCAAGGTAAGTCCCACCCTGAGAGAATCAATGGGGAAGAATCTTAATAGGCCTCAGTAGAAGGCTCCTTCTTCTATCCATGGGTCTCTGGGGAGAGAGGAAGTGACCTTGCAGGAGTCAGCATGTCATCACAAAACTGGTATCACTGGAGTCAGAAAGGAACATCATCAATGCTAGAAGGGATTGGGGTTCATAGAGGGGGGGAGGAGGAGGACGACGACGACAACAACAACAACGACAGTGGAGTCCTTGGTGCTCTTTGAGTTTGGTGGTTTTCTTGCAGATGTTTTACTACTTGTCCTAATGGACAATCACTTAAATAGGAGCCAGCCGAGTGCTGCAGCTGCCAAAAAAGCCAACACAGTGCTAGGCTGCATTAACAGAGGGACAGAATCAAAATCATGTAATACCACTTTATAATGCCTTGGTAAGGCCACCCTTGGAATACGGCATCCAGTTTTGGTCACCATGATGTAAAAAAGATGTTGAGACTCTAGAAAGAGTACAGAGAAGAGCAACAAAGATGATCAGAGGACTGGAGGCCAAAACATATGAAGAACGGTTGCTGGAATTGGGTATGTCTAGTTTAACAAAGAGAAGGACGAGGGGGGACATGATAGCAGTGTTCCAATATCTCAGGGGCTGCCACAAAGAAGAGGGAGTCAAGCTATTCTCCAAGGCGCCTGAAGGCAGGACAAGAAGCAACGGATGGAAACTGGTCAAGGAGAGAAGCAATCTGGAACTAAGAAGAAACTTCCTGACTGTTAGAAAAATTAACCATGGAACAACTTGCCTCCAGAAGTGGTGAATGCTCCAACACTGGAAGTTTTTAAGAAGACTAGACAGCCATTTGTCTGAAATGGGGTAGGGTTTCCTGCCTGAGTAGGGGGTTGGACTAGATGACCTCCAAGGTCCCTTCCAATTTTATTATTATTATTATTATTATTATTATTATTATTATTATTATTATTATTATTATTATTATTAATTGGGTTATGAAATATTTGCAAGAAAAACCACCAAGCTCAGAGAGCACCATGGAGCCCACATTTCAATCCTGAGCTACAAAGATTCCCTTCTATAGATAGGAGGTCTTTGAGAACTTGGCAGGTCTTCTGTTGACCCTTTCTGAACTGATTTTTGCAGAAAGCATGAGCAACAAATCCATCCAAAAGGAAGAAAAAGAATTCAGCAGCACTTGCCAGACGTCCCGAGCCCCCAAAGGAATAAACTACCTGATCCTTCTCTGGCACATCATCTTCTACCAACCAGTCATCACCGAGAAGCACCGCGAAAGAAAAAACTTCGACTTCCTCTTCATACAATTCAGCGCCTGGGAGTATGCATGCAGCAAACAGTTGTGGGCTGGGTTGATCACCACCCTGTGTGACAATATCCGCAAGCACTTCGGTCCTCTTCCCCTGAGTTTCTACCAAGTAGTAGGAAGCAGTCCACACCGCGACTCAGGAGACACCCAAGAAGAGTGGAGGCTTAAAAAGAAAACATGCTGGATGGCAGTAGGATTCCTGCTGATTGTCGTCCTAACTGTCGCAGGCCTGCCTGCTGTCTTCTTCCTTGTGCCAGAGATAAGGGATGGCACATACTTGAAGTACCTTGGTAGCAGCATGGCTGCCATTTTGGGCTCAGGGTTCATCATAGCCATCGCTCCTGTCATCAAGAACTTGATCATCACCCAGAAGAAGAAGATCGAGAGCATGACCAGCGATGAGAAGTTCACCAAACATTTGGGTTTCAGGAGTGCAGTGAAGAGAGAGATTGAGGTCCTCACCAACTTTATACGCTACATGGAGATCTTTGAGCGTCGGCCCTTGAAGATTGTCTTTGAGATCACATCTTTAGATATATGCTACCCTGAACAGGTGGTCGGGGTGTTGAATGCCATCCACACGCTCCTTTCCAATAAGGATTCTCCCTTCATCTTCATCCTGGTGGTTGATCCCTGCATCATCGTTTCTTGCTTGGAGAATGCTGAGAGCATGAAGGGAATGGCGGACAACGGCTACCTGTACCTCAATCGTATAATGACCCTTCCGTTCTCCATACCAGAAATAGCCATCGAGTCCAAGAGGAAGAGTTTGCAGGACACCTTGACGAAACTGGAAGTTCTGATCAGTACAGGGAACCT